GCACAAATGTAAAAGTATAAAAAATATTTAGGTCATATTTTTTCATTTTGATCAACTTTGAGTTTCATAAGCAGTTTATAGCTTTTTAATGTTCTCACTTCTATTATCAACAAGTGCAACAAAAATGCATAAAAAATAAAATGGAATACAAGATATAGGCGTTTTTGGTTTGCTGATTATGAATATGAAGTCAAATGTATAAAATTATTTGTGTAAATAATAAAATATTTAAACAAAACATGTAAAAAGTTGAAAAAAATTATTTGTACAAATAATTTCTTGATTTGGCCGAGATTCAAATCTTTTTTGAATAGTTTAGAATAGATTTGAAATATTTCAGTTGGAATCTCGAGTAGAGAAATTTAGAATGGTTCGTATCTCAGCTATGCCGATGTTGTTAAAATTTTAATTAAAATTGCCGGATTTCGGTTTGACCGAGATTTGAACCATCTTTTACTAATTTAACACGGATTTAAAATATTTCGGTTGGAATCTCGGCTAAAGATATTTAGAATAGTTCGTATCTCAACTATGCCGATTTTATTAAAACTATTTAACTCTATCTTATATTCAATTTTATTTCTTGTGAATTTTTTACTTGTTGAGGATAGGAGTGAGAACATTAAAAAGTTGTAAACTGCCCGTGAAACTCAAAGTGGGCTAAAATTAAAAAATATGACCTAAATATTTTTTGTACTTTTATATTTGTGTCAAATTAGAAAGAAATCGGAGTACTTGTAAGTTGTTAATAACTAAGAGGGATGTTAATAATTAGATGTTTTACTCTACAAGTGCAAACTCAGACTCACACATATACCAGTTGGTCCTACAAATTGATAAAAATGCATCCTCCTGTTATCATGATCGCCAGCGTAGCCGCAAACGTATCATTAGATTTTTCCGGTATGTGCATAAAACGTCTGCATTACCATAACCGTATACCGTTGATATGAACGGCGCACTTGGCCGGTATTTGTATCAATTCACATTCGGTAATACGATGCGTCGCCGCGGACCCGAAAAGAGACGTACGACCATTTCGTGTTGAAGAGCGGTCGTCGTAATGTAAGGCATCTGCGTAAGGATGGCAAACGAGGACGTTAGCCGAATAATGCAAAGCAAACCCGTGCTGAGATATAGTCCGGCATTTGTTCATATTAAGGCGCTGTCACGGCTCGCAATGTTCGCGTGTCGCGCTGTTCACCTCCCCCTTTCTATCCGGTGACATTTCGGCCGCGTGCCTGCGTGTGTTTTGAAATTATATAACGCGAGAACGCCCGACGTCGTTAGTCAACTCGCGCCGCATCTCGCTGTTAACTATGTGTATCTTGAGCAGCCGTTACATCGCAATTTGTCAGGGCCGCTTCGCCGCTACGCGGCGCAATTCCGCGCGTTAAGTTGCGCGCCCGGCGCGATATTTCGGCCGGCCGTGACAACTCCGCGTCCGGGATTTGTCTCGGGCCGATGTTTACCGAGCAAACAATGAATAAACGCCGCAACGACATGAGAGGGAGATGGTGATGGTGGTGGTGGTGGTTGATACATCGCCAAAGATCGCGCCTTTTCCGAACAACGAGAAATATCGATGAGAACAATTGGGGGATTCAAGTGATAAATTGTTTCCTCGGGAAATCCATGTCTGAGCGCTTAGGGGAGACTCTGAACGGCGAAACGACGATCTATGTCAACGTCGTCGCCATAGATCCATGAGACGCCTGGTTGATCTTAAAATCGTTCAGTTCAACGAGAAGCGGAATTCCGACCCGTCACCTGGCAGACAGACTTTGATCATAAGTGACACGCGCGACTTTACGGTAAACCTAAGTTCTAAACTAATAAGGCAACACCACGGTGCGGCACGATCGAGAGAGGCCGTGGGTGCAAACGCCGATGGAAGCAGAAGGGTCCAAGTTTCATGGTGCTGCGAACCGGGTCACCCGATTATGACGCTGATCGTCTGCGAGAGACAACCAAATTGGACAAGTTGAAGGAGTGGAACCTTCTTCGTCGCCTATAGACCCCATTAAACTCCCAAAGATCTAAATCGCGGATATCTTTATCTTTGATTTCTATTCGCGTATCTTGCAATATTGTCATCAAGCATGAATACTGGCTCGTGTATAAAATGTCTTGAGCTTTTCGCAAAAAATCTGTCCTGAGTTCTTAAGAGAAAGCAGCTTAATTAATTACATTAATTCATTTTACTTTTACAGCGATAATATTTCTTCGCATAAATCACGTTAAAATTAAAGTTAAACGTTTAATTAGGGACTAACAGATCCTTTCTTTGTACATGAAGCAGTATCTTCAGTATTTTCATCCCTCGGGGATTATGCCTCCCTTTTTACATCCGTATCCGATTTTTTTTTATCCGCTCGCGAGGGAAACGTACGTCGCGTTTGAGATCGACGTTACCGAGAAAGAATGATCTCCGACGAAACATTGTTTCCCAGTTCGAGCTTCCGCGTCGAAAGAGGTCGAAGAGCGCTAGGTGGTTGGCGTCGGGTGTAAATTTGCATTGAACGAAATGAGGCGCTATGGGGCATTCCAGTCCGTAGTTAATAGCTTCCCAACGATTAACTGTATCTCTCCAACCACCTACCATCCGTGCCCAGCCCTCTTCCTCATCCTCTCTCCCTCTCGCTTTCTCCTCCCTATTCATCCGCTGCTCGCTCACCCTCGTCCTCTTTCTCTCTCTCGTCCGCCACACACGTCCTTCTTGCTCCTCGTCGCACGCGCCACGTCCTAGCTACCTATATCGTCCCTCCTAATAATGTATGTCCCAAAGGTCGCGAAATAACTGACTTCGTCGCTCGACGGGCGACGAATATCGCGACCACCGTCGGCCGATCGGGTCGGCGAATTGCTGTACTAGACCCGAGAAAAAATTACGGCGAGCGCGATATCCTCGAGAAATAGGCTCGTTTGCTCTTCGTCGCGGCTTGATTGCGGTCTTTGTCAGTCTGACGAATCATCGACGGCACGCCGGGGTCGGAAAAGGCAACGCCACTGCGGCAGCCAATAGTTTCCAGGCGTGTGAAGGCGCCACGGGGGTTATAGGGCATAATTTAGTGGACAGTTTGATATACAAACAATCTTTAATGAAATTCTTGGTGTTCATTAATAACGCATTACAGCCTCGCGCGCCGGTGTGTCGGCATCGGTATCCGGGAATCCCGCTTTCTCTCTCTCTCTCTCTCTCTCCCTCACTCATTCTCTCCTCTCTGTCTCTCTCGCTCTCCTCCTCCTCCTACTTCTCCTCCCCCTCCTCCACCCCTTTTATACCCTACCATTTTCCTACTCATACTCCGGTGCAGCCGCTTCCGCGCGTACCATCGTCCGACACCCTTTATCGCCCTGGCTTTCAACCAACCCTCGCTCTTTCCACCATCGGAACATCCTCGATGAACCACCGCACGAATATGTTACGCATTGCCGCGGTGGCTGTATTCGATTTTTGATCCAAACGCGTCCAAATCAACGTTATATTCTTTGCATTTCAATTGACAAACATATCATATTGATTAACGTTATTTTAGTCTCGATGTATGAGACAGAGTACAATTGTCGAGGAATACGGTTGGGACAAAGCTTCGTCTCGATCACAGTAAGTTGGAGTTCAGTTGGAAAGTATTTTTTGGTACGCATCGCGAAATATTCGCCTTGTTACATCTCATTAAAACCAGTGTTCGTTTTCCCTTGAAAAACCCACGACATACTTTGGGCGAATCTATTTCATTTTTCAGTGCCGTCTGCGCGTTCTCGCGGGGGCACAAGTCGAACGAGAGACACGACACTCGATATATCGGGACGAACAAGTCTCCCCCGTCGAGGAAACCTGGGAAAGAAGCAGCCTCTGGGTAGGAAAAAAAAAGTAATTGCCCCTTGATACACGCCGATACCCCTCCTTCGGGGATGCCGCCTCGTAATGATGTTCACGTTGGCGAACTTAGTTCGAAATTAAATATCGGGGCAAGGAGGTGGAACGCTAGCGGAGGGGAACGTCGAATCGGGAGGTCGCGAAGGAGGAAGGGAACGACGTTGCGCACCTGCCTTTTTCCCGGAGCGGCATGATAAAAATCAAACTGGAAAACAAACGAGAAGCGGGATCGTATTATAAAGTTTTTTAATCGATAGACGATGCGCGTCTCTGAGGGCGGAAGAGCCAGTGGGATGGGAAGATATCTCGCGGGTTCGTAGATAGACGGGGATGAAAAAAGAGAGAGTGAAAGAGAGAAAGAGAGAGAGAGAGAAACTCCAAAGAGGAAACTGCGCGATCGAGCGAGGAATCCTGCGGCGTGCTTACTGGCTCGTGTAATAATGAATTTATACCTCGCGCGCGAGAACGCTTTCGGAAGTGACGACGTGCCACTTTTCTTTCTCGCCTCGTCTGCCTTTTTAGAATTTTATTTAATGAAAAGATCCCGGCTCTCTGACGAGATCTCGTTTTGTGCTTGGAGATCCTTATCCCGTGAATTCGCGAACACATGCCCATTCAGAAACAGCAATCGCGACTCCAGTGGCAAAATACATAATGTTCTTAATATAAACGAATGATCTTAACATGAGCGAAATAAGCAGTATTAATATTTATATTAACAAATGGTAAAATAACTGATTATTGATAACGTGTTTCTCCGCTTCTCTTGTTTACAGTCGTTACAACCGACAGATCCGCCGATCTTCGATATCACCAATGTCCTGATAAACGAAACAGTAACACAGTTGGCGTTATGGGGCCACTTGGGTATCTCCCTCGTGGAGCTACCGAAACGATGGGGCAAGGATACCGTCTTCGAAAACGGCAAAGATACGATCCTCTGCACGTGAGTACACATTTATCTCTGTTCAGATTGCTTCTGTCAAAAATCACGCTTGTCATATGTAAATGCGAAGAGTCGATAAGAGACTCACGTATAAAATATTTCAAACATATCAATATTTTTAAATTCATAAAAAAGACAATGTGTGTAAATTCAAATATTGATACATTTGAAATATCACATATTAATGTGTGACTTGCGTCTTTTTAAAAATACACATATAGAATATAAAAAAGAGGTGATATTTATATTAACGATTATCCCAAACTCGCGAGAATCTCCAATGAAATAACATCGGTGGTGATTTCATTGGTCGGTACCTACGAACATCTTCGAAAAGAAGCGCGTACCGGCGAAATGCGACTCGTAAAAACGGAGATAAAGTTAGTGGCGGATAATAAATCGCGCTATCTGCCTTTCCCGTGCCGCCGCCGACGCCGCCACCGCCACCACGTCTCCTGTAGGCGTCCTAATATCCTGTAATTAAGAGGGTGTTACGGTGACGCCCGGGAAACCCCTTCGGCCTCCCTCTTATGGAATTAAGGTGGCTTTACTCGGTTAGTTTTCAAAAGTTCCGGGGGGTCAGGAAGCACCGCTGAATACTAACCGCCTCATCAACGACACATGCCACCCGAGACTACTGTCTCGCGTAACATTACCCGGTGGTGTGCCATCGCCACCCCCGGCTTGCGTCCCGACCCCCGGCCGTAATCTTTCGGGCGATTAGAACGTCGCGCAATTACGAGCGCCGTTGGAGATTACGCTCGTCCACGCGTCGCCGAGCGCCGTGGCGCAGTCGATCGTCGTCGATCGGAACGTCACTTTCGCACGCGGCGCTCGTGTTCATCGCCCACCTGCACCGAACAACCTGCCGCAATTCCATCCCACTAAATTCCTCTATCGATAAAATTAAGAGCTTGAAATTAATTAATGTTGAGGTGATTGCGTTGTCTATTGCAGTTTGTTGAAGGCTTGACAGACTATTACGCTATTTCCAGGTAGGGATGGGCGATGTAGTATCGATATTTCAGATATTTGTAGGCTTTATTATCGATATTCTATCTTTTGATATTAACATATATCGATATTTGGATAGGAATATCGAATTTATGATACAATTCGTATACAACTAAACAAGTCCTCTAACAGATGTCTCGCCTAAACCCTATATTTTCCTTATATTTTCCTTAAAGTTGGTAATGTTGGGGTACCGACTGAATAATCCCTGGAACCAATAATGAGCACTGAGCATTGATACAGTCCGTAAAGTAGATCGACATATTCTATTGGATAGAAATGCACAAAATGTCTTTGATCTTTTATAACAGATCTAGAAAAAGGAAATAAATGTGTGGTCACTGATCTTTCTACTGACTTTTCATTGGTTGAACTTTGTTTAATAAGAAAGGTAATAGTAACGTATTTTTACAAATTAAAAACTTCCTCAACATGTTACAATATAAGTTACAATATAATAACGTTACACTATAGATATGTAACATTGTATGTAATCATATGTTAAACACCAATATATCAACTTATGCATAAGTAAAATTAATATTATTTATAATTATATTGCGGTATGTTGAAAAAGGTTAGATGATATCGATAATATCGATATCACTAATATCGACACATTCCTGATATTTTTTATATATCAATACTTTTATTACGATACGTTTCGATACGAAATATCGATACTTTCTACTGTATCGCCCATCTCTATTTCCAGGATTCAAGAGAGAGTTGAAAGATAAAAGAACTATATAAACAAATCGACATCGGTACACGGTCATATTTTAGTACCCTTAAAAGCTCCTTCGAACAAACATCGCGATGTGAAGTTCACGAAATATTCGTGTCTCGACGATGAAGATGGATATCACGCGGCGCCACGAGGAACTCGGCACCTGAATTAAACGGTAATTAATAGCAAAATACGATGACTCTTAATCCACCAGCGGTATAAACGCGAAAGGGGTAACCGCTCGTTTTAAGTCGTCCTCCGCATTATAATTTCATAATAAGCTGAATTCAGAATAAATGCAAGTACCTTCCCTGACTTCCTGCTAATTCGTAATTCCGAACTTTTTCCGGAAGCGAACGAACCGCTCGCTCTTCGAGAGCGAAAGGGGAAGAAAGAGAGAGAGAGAGAGAGAGAGAGAGAGAGAGAGAAGGGAGCAGAGGATGAGAGCGAGGGAAAGAGAAGAGCAGAAAAGAGAGAGGTACGAGACCGACCGCCGCTAAACAAACTGGCCAAATTAAGAGCGGCAGTTTGCGCGCTAAAGTTTTTTCGTCGTTTCACTTAGGCGATTTCAACCCGGTCTCCGGGTTCGAGCGAATTTATTAAGAACGCACGTAGCGCATTATACGCGCATACCGCGCGAAAGATCGCGCGGGAACAGTTTCTAAGTGAGTCGCAGCCATTAGAACGAATCTCGGGGATTTAATGTCTCTCCCGCCTCTCCGCCAACCGGCTTAAATAAGGCTAAATGAAGTTTATGCGTTATTGCCGACGGAACTTCCGGTAGACGCGCGGCCTCGCCGAGGAGGCTGTGAGACTTTGAGCGCGTTATCATCTCGCACTTTTAACTTGGCCAAATGTGTCGCGCGCGGAGAGAGAGATCGGAAGTCGATCGAATCGAGAGACTTCTTGATGTGGCAGTCACGCGGTCCCATCTCTAGTGAGAGATCCTTGCAAGACACATGTGTGACTTCACAAGTACAAACGCAATGTTGACCAACGCAATTATGGAAAGTCACGATCGCAACGGTCGGCTGTAAGTCGCTGCTGAGGAAGTTCAGGGGCCGACCGATGTCGGACAGTTGATGTGACGGAGCTCCGTCCACCCTATCGCCGAGTTACAGGCTGACTTGGCGTTCGCGCGCCTTCCGGAACGTCGCGTCGGGAGGAATAATGAGAGCGATTAAAAATGCAGCGGGGAACTTCCGATAGGTAGTCCTCGACGTCCCCGTCGCGCGTCCTGAAACCGAATAACGGGTCCCGCGGCCTGCTCGGGCAGGGAGGATGGGCTTCGGATTAAGCAAATGGCGGCAATAATAGTGATTATTCGGATTATGATATCAGAGCGCGAAGTGGGTTCGCTCAGACTTACCGGCAACCACTAACTGCCGCGCCGCCAAATCCTGACTTCAAGACACCGGATTAAAACTATTACCACTTCGTGGCACCCCTTCGGTCTCGCTCCGCGCCACCCCGCACCGTCCCTCGACGGACCCGCACGTCTCGCTCACCTTCGCGGTAGGTTCTTTCACTCCCTTCTCGGCTGTTTTAAACGACCCCCCGAAGATCACGGAGTCTGGCACGGGCTTATTTTCGCGGAATAGTGTGTCACAAATCTTCAAGATTGTCAGACGATCATCTGGTATAGCGTAAAAATTCAAATTTGCTAATTTACTATTCTCCTAAATTTTTCTTTACGCAATTGGTATGATTCGACAATACAAATAAAACGAACATTTCGCGACAAACATTAAATGCTGTCAGCATAAATATTCGAAGACGGGGAAGATTACCCTACTTCTTGAAGCGAAACAGTAAAATGTTTCTGAATGAATCGACAAAAGGAGTATTTCGTCGCGATAATCAATGAATATTCGCTAATTTTCAGTGAAAACATCCCCACTCTAGTGCTTTACCCCACATTTCGCTGATTTGCACCGGTGAAAGTAAAATTTGACTTCAAAACCTATAATGCACAAATTTGTTATACGCTACGCTAAGTCTAACTCTCTTTTAAACTCTGCATTTATGGCGGCGAAATGGACAATTTCCGTGCGATTTGCGTGCAAAAACACTGTATTTGCAAACTGCATCAATAATAGAGAACATTCTGTGCTATTAACTGATTCTTTGAGCGAGATGATTACAGCGCTATATTTATAATTGAGCCAACAATTATAAGTACACTGCATTGCACGGAAGAATGCACTGATTGTACCTCAGAGATTATTTCTCCGAAAAATCACGCAACATGATGAACGTACCGTTAGGCGGTGAGTAACGGTACATAACAGTGAGTAACAATGGTTCAGCCGCAATAACAGTTTACCCACACCCGCCGCGAGCGAAGCAGCGGCTATATTCGGTCGCGGATAATCGCTATAGGAAGTAAGTACAATTCCTACCGCATAATGCGGTGCCACGGTGGTGTGGTGGGCGAATCGCACTACACCGTCGCGAGTCCCGGTATTAATTCGACAACGAATTGCGAAAGCGGCGCCATTCCGCTCGGCGCGGGAAGATCGTCGCCTCTTGGTTGGCTCGAGCGGCTAATTATTGTTTTAAGGATTACCGTTATGTGTTTATTATGCGGCCTGGAGGACCTTACTCTCCCTCCCTGCCGCCCTCTTACCTGCCTTAATATTCGGTAGATTTCAGCTTCTCCGGGAGAAATCTACGCCGCTTCTTCCGCCCCACTACTACCCTCCCTTCTCCCTCGCTAAAAGTCAGCCTACGTTTATGAATAATTCTCACCTCTTATAACCACCCCCTCCTTCCTGCGCTCTTCCCCGTACCCCTTCCCCCTCTTCCCTCTCGCCAGCCGCCCCCGCTACCTCATCGCAACCTTTACCCAATCCACTCGCCAGCACCGCGAGCGAACGAGCGAGCGCGTCTCGCCGAACCACCCTCGGAGTATTCGCCTCGTAAACCCCTAATGCCGGCTCTTCATCTGCGAGCTCCCAGATTCTGAGCCCCGCGGAAGCGGGCGAGTCGCCGTAACGCCCGCAGCAAGAAGCGGAAAGTAGATAATGGACACACGCGTAATTACAGGTACGAGCGTTCCCTGACTAATGACCTTATTAAGAAGTTCTTCGTGGTGGATGTGATTTCTCCATCTCGCGTAGGACGCGGGATTTCATTGCGGATTTACTCGTGGCGCGAGTGTATCGCGAATCGATGATTATTCGAGTTCTTCTCCGATCGTATATCGAGCATTAATAAGAAAATAAAATCATTGACGCCACACGCAATATATCTC